CTCGGGCTGGGGGTCATTCACCAGTGCTATGAGGGACTGGATTACTTGGTCGGTTTTGGTTGCTGGCTTCCAGTTTTCAGCGCTAATTACTGGCAGACAGACCTGCCCCTTTTCGTCGATGTTCGGGTGATAGATCTTTGTTTTAAATGTGATCTTCCGTGGTTTGAATGGGTACTCTGCTGGAAAGTTGATTTCGATTCTGAAGGCCCCCTTATCATATGCAGGGTTGCCAGGAACAATAAGCCCTTGCCAAGTCAATAAATTAGCTTCATCAACCTGGATGTTACGGAAGTTTTTCATCCCACATTTGCGGATTTCTTCAAGCTCCTTCATCAGCCTCCTGCTGGCCGCCATCTTGGATTTGGTCAAAATTTTTTTTTTTTTGAGACGAAATCTCACTCTGTCGCCCAGGCTGGAGTGCAGTGGTGCCATCTGGGCTCACTGCAACCTCTACCTCCCGGGTTCAAGCGATTCTCCTGTCTCAGCCTCTCGAGTAGCCAGGAACACAGGCGTCCACCACCACTCCCAGCTATTTTTGTATTTTTTAAGTAGAAACAGGGTTTCACCATGTTGGCCAGGCTGGTCTCGAACTCCCAACCTCAGGTTATCCACCCTCCCAGGCCTCCCAAAGTTCTGGGATTATAGGCGTGAGCAACCGCGCCCGGCCCACGCCAGCTTTTAACATGCACGTCTGTTTCGCAGGACTTGGGGCCGCGAGCCTTCAAGGGGCACTCTCCCGCAATGCCCACACTCCAGGTGCGGGGAAGGGCCGCGGGACCTTGGCAGCTGCATGGTCCAAGGCGACTCCTGGCGGTGCTAGGACTCCTACAGGAGCCCAGCCTCCAGGAGCACGACCTCTGTCGCCAGGGCGTTAGGCTCCGGCCTACCGCCCCAACCTGGAGGGAGCTGTCAGCGCCCACCTCACTCCCACCTGCGCAGGTGGCGACAGCCCGAGGCAGCTATGAGGTCACTGCTGGTCTTGATGTACCAAACACACCGGCTGGGAGAAATCCCCTTACTCTCCCGGGTTCCCCAAAGTGGATCTGCCAGAACAGGGGAGATACTGACTTCCGCCCACCAAGCATGGCTGAGCAGTCACTCCATGGGTGAAGTCTATGAAGTCCGGTCAAGACAGCAAGTTTGTCAGTCAACACGCATTTAACCTCCACATGTCTCACCTGTGCAGCCCTGAGTGAGTTCTGTGTGTGTCTGTTGGGCAAAGGGGAGTACAAAGCAAGCTCAGACTCCACCTCGGTCCTCTAGTGGCTTCTGGTCCTTGACAGTTATTTTGTTGTTGTTTGTTTGTTTTGAGACAGGGTCTTGGTCTGTCATCCAGGTTGGAAATGCAGTGGCATGATCACAGGTCACTGCAGCTAATTAAAAAAAAAATTGTTTTTTTTTGGTAGAGATGGTGTCTCCCTATGTTCACCAGGCTGGTCTTGAACTCCTGGGCTCCTTTGATCCTCCCACCTCAGCCTCCCAAATTTCTGGGATGATGGGTGTGAGCCCCTGTGCCTGTCCTCTCAACAGCTTTTTATATTATGACCATTTGTCCCCTCCACTCCGACCACCCTCCATGCTAGAACATCTGCTCTTCTCAGAAGTGAAGCTGGTATCTGTGTTTCACTGCCCACTGATCCCAGGCCTGGCTGGCCCTAATCCCAGCGTCCCTCAGGATGTGAACAGAGCAGCAGCAAGCCAAGAACAGACACGTGGTGAGGTTTCCTGGAAGAATGGGAAGAGCATTAGGCAGGGAGCTTGTAGGCTGTGTTCTGACTCCAGCTCGGCTGTTATTTGCGGTGTAACTTTGCTTTGGTCTTAATCCTCTCTGGACTTCTGTCTCCTCCTCCCTCAAGCTATGGCACTCCCAAGTCACCTTTCACCCAGATGATCACTTCTGGAAGCACCTTCAGTTCCTCCTTGGAATTGGTGTTCCTCCTGGTGAGTGGGCCAAGCTCGACCAGGGCTGGCTTCTTGTCCCAGTGAACATTTGTCCAGGGAGAAGTAGTATCTAGGATCCAGGGCCAAGCCACTCCTCTGGGGAGGGTAGTCCACAGGCCAATAGGCTTTGCCCCTCTCAGCGCCTGCATAATTCTCACTCAGTTCTTCAGTTCTCAGCTTAAACTAACTTTTAAAAGTAGAGGCCAACTTTTTTTTTTTTTTGAGAGTCTCGCTCTGTCACCCAGGCTGGAGTGCAGTGGCACAATCTCAGCTCACTGCACCCTCACTGCAATCTCGGCTCATGTAACCTCAAGTTCAAGCGATTCTCCTGCCTTAGCCTCCCGAGTAGCTGGGATTACAAGCACCCGCCACCACGCCTGGCCAATTTTTGTATTTTAGTAGAGTTGGGGTTTCACATGTTGGCCAGGCTGGTCTCGAACTCCTGACCTCAAGTGATCCGTCTGCCTCGGCCTCCCAAAGTGTTGGGATTATAGGTGTGAGCCACTGTACCCGGCCTTAGAGGCCAACATTTAAAAATCAGAACAGCCATATATAAATTCTGAGCTGCTTTTGTAGAATCAGAAGCTCCAACCCGCTTGGCCTGACTTCTTTGGCACGGGGCTGAGAGGCAATTGCCCTCTGCAGATGGGGACTCTGGCCCTGATTCACTGCAGGCCCCACCTAGACGCTCACCCACATGAGCTGCCTGGCCCTGTGATCACTGTGGCCCCTGGGCAGGGGAGACTTCTCAGGCCAGGTGCGGTGTCTCTATCCCCAGGGCCTGAACCTGGGACTGGAACATGGTAGTAACTCAGTAAACATTGGGTGAATCAATGAATGAATAAACACACGTATGTGACATTAAATCTAAATGTACATCCTTCATTCTGGCATTCAAAGCCCTCTTTGATTCTGTCCAAAACTGCCAATCACTACGATAGTAACAATAATGGTGAATACAGTGATAGTACACTACATATGACTCTATAGCCCTGCATAAAATTCCAGTTATTCCTGCTACAGCCCTTGGAATATGTATTATACCCACCATTTTATGAATAAAAGGGGAAGCAATTTGCCAAGGGTCATACTGCTCCTTAGGGGACACAGCTCAAGCTGGATGTCAGACCCTAGTGACTTCCAGTCCCATCCTTTCCACTCATCTCTCCGGGAGAGATGCATCTTCCAGGGAGCCTCTACCAGACAGGGTACTATGGCAGAGGTGGGAGGACCCAGAGAAGATTCCAGGTCCACCCTCCAGGGGCCACTGCTTTTCTTCTGCATGGGAATCTTGCAAGTTGCTTGCCAAAATGCATCTTCCCAGCCATCGGGATCTCTGGCCGTGGAGCCAGGAACCTGCATTTTCACAAGCAGCCCAGGAGATTCTCTGACACTGGCAGGTTTGGGATCCTCTGGTTTTTAATAAGGGCTGCCCTAAAGGGACCACACAGGGACTTCAGGAAACCCTCCATCCCACTGGGCGTTTGGGAGCCTTCAGGCAGAAGTGGGCATTGTCCACTTGTTTATTCACCCATTCTCAAGGCACTATGGTGGGCTCTCAACAGTGTGTATACCAGACCCTGCCCCTGCCTTCGACATACAGTCTCCCGGGGAAGACAGAAAGTAACCGACATGCAATCTAAGATGTGCTATGAAAGAAAAATATGGAGAGGAATGAGAGGGAATCAGAGGGGTCCAGGCTCTGCTTGGGGTATCAGGGAATCTGAGCTTAGAGGGAGGAAGAAGTACGAACTGGGGAGATCCCTTGCACAAGCTAAGGTATATGGACTAGGCATTCAGAGTAAAGGGAAGAAGATATAGGTATGGATATAGAAAATAGACATATAAAGAGATTTGCTATAAGGAATTGGCTCACGTGCTTTTGGAGGCCGACCAGTCTTCAGATCTGCTGCAAGCTGGAGACCCAGGGGAGCCCAGTCTGAGTCTGAAGGCCTGAGACCCACGAGAGCCAATGAATTGTGTAAGTTCCAGTCCCAGCCTGAGTGTGAAGGTAGGAGAAAACCAATGTCCCAGCAGAAAGAGAGAACATTTTTTCTTATTCAGCCTTTTGTTCTATTCGGGACTTCAGTGGATCGGAAGAGGTCCTCCCACGTGGGGAGGCTAGTCTGCCTTACTCAGTCCACCGATTCAAATGCTAATCTCATCCAGAAACACCCTCATGGAGACACCCAGAAATCGTGGGGAGCCAAATATCTGGGCACCCTGTGGCCTAGTTGAGCTGACATAAATTAACCACCACAGCGCAGTTGGTCAAAGAGAGGAGATTGGTTGAGGCTTTATAATCTCTTGTCAGAGCAGGGAGGGGTTGACCATGCCCTGCCGCTGCTTCCTGGTGCAGAAAGGCCCACCACACCCCAGGCTGGGATCAGGAAGGTTCTTGGGCCTCTGGTTAGCACCATAAATCTGTCCCCCACCCAGGTGATGCTGACTAGGGCTCCCGGTAAGGGTGTTCACTCTGGCTTCCTTCCAGCCCCTGGATGGCTGTGTGTACTCCTGTCTTCCTGGAGAAGCCACTTGGACAACTCCAGCTTAGGGAGCTGGTCTTAGCCAGGCCACAGAGAAACCCCAGTCGCCTCCAAGTCCCTCCTGACATTTATGAGGTGCTGCTGAAGGGGGCCGCCTCAAACCCTGAAGGAATGTTAATTGGCTAAAGCTGTTGCCCATGCTCTTGCTTAGCCGGTTATTACCATTTTATTGTTATTTGTTTTCCCCCCAGAGGCGCCTGGGTGGGGCTGAGTGGGCCAGAGCTGCCTTTGGACTGGAACCAGAGATGGGAAGAGGCTGGGGACAGAGGCGGGGTGTGTGTTGGGGGCATGGACGACCCTCAACTTGTCCCCAACTCCCATACAGCTTCTTCCTCTTGTCAGGGCCTCAACTCAGGGAGGGGATGAAGAAAAAAGTCTGGAAAGGGAGTAAAATGCAGAGGCTGAAAACATGGCTTTGGTGTCCCAGACCCTCAAGGGTCCAAAAGCTGGCTCTGCCCTCCTCAGCTTTGGGTGCCAGGGAACTTCAGTCTCCATGTCTGTTGTAATATCAGCCTTTCTGGGCTGTCCTGATGGAAAATGTGCCTGCTCAGCACATAAGGATTACATTTCTCATAGAAGAGCCACCTCTGGGGCAAGTTTGAAAACATCTTACCGTAGGATTCACAGTTGGAAAGACCCTTCCACAGGGTCTGTGTTACTGTCAAGATGAAGAAACTGGCCGGTCACGGTGGCTCAAGCCTGTAATCCCAGCACTTTGGGAGGCCGAGACGGGCGGATCACGAGTTCAGGAGATCGAGACCATCCTGGCTAATACAGTGAAACCCCGTCTCTACTAAAATACAAAAAAAAAAATTAGCCAGGCGAGGTGGCGGACGCCTGTACTCCCAGCTACTCGGGAGGCTGAGGCAGGAGA